GGCGCGACGGGGTAAGAGTCGCTCATACGCGGGAAATCAGGCATTCGCCACCACGCAAGCTGGAATTTCCGATGACTTCAATCGCGATGAACGAAGTCTGCGAGAGGGTCGTCCTCTCCTGAGCCAGCATCTGGAGAGCGAAGTCTTTCAATATTTCCGAAGCCGTCGGCAATGGCACTGAATTTCTAGCGTGAAGCTTGATGTCTCAGAGAGCTCTCTCGCTACTGAGCTATCGATGCCTAAGCCGCATTTCGAAGACCCCACGTGTGCGCGATAGGAGAAGGATGGGACCTCCGACGCGCGACAGTAAGATCCCCACGACGCCGACGGAGCGCTCAGAGGCGGCAGACTCAGTCGTCCGAACATCCTCATGGGTGAGGTTTTCGAATGGCCCGCCCTTAAGTTGCGATATTGATGGGAAACTGATTACAGCCGCCAAACACTGCCGGTCAATGTTTCCACTCGATCAGTGCAGGTGGAATGTGAGCACAGCTCTTGAATGTTTAGGGTGCACATAATCGGAAACACATAGAACCGTTTGTATCGGGTGCGTTCTCGAATAGACTACAGACAACTTAGCGTCTCGGGAGATGCCTTCGAATTTGGTCGAGAAATGGGATAGGTGTCGCTCGTCACTGGGAGCTGTCTCCATCCGGCCTCGGAAGAGCCACGGACAAGCTGTACGGCGTGTAGAGGGAGACCGAGTTTCACTGATTCCGCTTCTCGAGACAATACGCATGGTAGACAAGAATCAGGCCCGTCACTCTGAATCCAAGAGATGAAACAAAAGTTCGATCCGTCGTCCGTCTCGACGCAGTGTGAACCTCATGCCACAGGCGGCACGTCTTAGATGGGATCTCCTCAGTTCTAGCACGACTTCGATGGAAGCAGGGGAATCGACGTATAGTGGCGGTTAGATAATGACGGTCGTGGTCAAACATTTCTCACTGCCGATTCGAATTTTGTGCTCAAGAAGACATGCTTCTCTCATCTCAAGCCAATAGTCAGCAATAGGTGGAGATTATATCATCGAACATTCCAGTGTATACGAGGGTCCGATTGCTTGATCGGGGTTTGTACTTCCAGTATCTATCCTTGGGTCGACAACCCCTCACTCGTTGATGGAATTGACGGATCCGTTCAGAGCACCTGCACCCACGAGAGGATTCAACTCCAATTCTAAGGCTCCGAATTCCACTCGAACCTGCAGCGACCGCGCTGATTTCCGACCCCCCAATAAAACCCGCGAATTGATCATCGATCTGCGATCGTCTTAATCATTGCTGCTCGAGTCTTCAAACTTCCATCGGATTGCCCGTCAGAATAGCTCGATTCAAGGAATGGGTTCCTTGGCTGTTTTCCCTCCTATCCCTTAACGCGCTATGGTCATGTTAATATTTCGGTAAGATGCTGTGTTTCGTCGACTGTGACGTCCGCTTGCGTGGAATATGACCCTCGGATCGTTTTTATCGATCCGATTCATTCGGGGAGTACTCAGGAAAGTCTGTGCTGTCGACTGATGTCGATTCTTCTGTGCACATAATCAGATTTTGATGGTCAACCGAGCCTTTCGACGAGTTCTACAACCTTCAGTTCTACAACCCGAGTTCTACCCGGGGCGGCGTGAACGCGATCGTAATGGTTGGCTCATCTGGGTTTGACGTGGTATCGCGCAGCCGGGCAACCAGCCGCCCGCTCCATCGATCCGATGGTTCATCTGCGGAATGCGATAGATTGCAATCCTGGCTCAGAATACGATTCCGGTTCCGGACGCGAGACGATCATCGTCCCAAGAGCTGACGTGAGCTCTGCACGGATTCTCAGGGCAGAGCCCCGTCCTTTGCCTGCTATCGAGCAACTCGACCGTGATCCTCGGGTCCGTCAACGCCCGTCTTGTCTGCCCCAAGAAGAAGAAAAGATTCTCTATGCTGTCCCTGAGATATCGTGTCAGGCGTCGCTCATGGCGGTAGTCCGCCAGCTTGCGCCTCCGACCGGAGCTCTCTCATCTATTCGATTCCTGAATTCTCCACATGGATCGTGCGAGACGTTCCTGGAAATGTCTTCGGGATCTCCTATCTGCCTCCAAAAAAAATGCAACGGGTAGTGCTCGAGCACTATCGATTGGATGGCGTGAAAGCTCGTTTACCGTGCGCACCGCACATTTTCTAAGGGTGTCCGTCCCGGACGCGGAGTTGGAGAATCTTCATGGCCATATGAAGAACGTGTTGAGGTGTCACTCCTCGTCGATCACAGCGTCGGATCCCAGACATGGCACTGGCGCGGAATTTTTCCCCTTTAATCGACCGCATGTTTTGACCGCATACGAGATATATCGCCGGGAAGGACAACTCCTCGGCAACGGTGTCTTAAATCAAGCTCTCCGGTTTTCGATGTTGACCCGGAGTTATGTTCAGATAGTGTTCCTCATTCCATATCATCGTGTGTTGCCGCGAGTGAATCAACTCTGACTCTGAAGCGGTACTCGCGTCTACGTTCTCAAGTAGATCGTAGGGCGGCCCGTCGATTCCCGTGCTCGTTTCGGTTTTTTAAAATGCGGACCAATTAATGGTGATGTTGTGGTGCCTATCCAGCGGCTGTTGCACCAAGTACTTCAAGCAAGTATGAATCGTCTATATTTTACGAAGCCATTAATCGCGTCATGATTAAGTCCAATCCACCAAACCTACTACAGAAATCCCATAGCTCAAGATTGACTTGGGAATGCCGGTGTCGCCGATCGCGGGAGAGAGTTGAGCAAACATGTGAAATGAGTAGCGCCGAGGACGGCACTTGTCGTCGCCTGCTCCGGACAAGAATTTGTGGTCAATCGGGTGCCTGCGTACAGAATAAAGCAGTTATTTATTTAAGGATCGAATGATTTCCGAGGGTTGCATGTGTCAAGTTACCCCCCTGCTCTGTATGCCCAATAAACTTAAAGACATTTTCACGTCAAAAGTCCCAGGAATCCCCGTTCCAGCGAGATCTTCGACGAGTTGAATCTACCAGGGCGACTTCAGGCAGCGCGCCATTTGTGAATCGCTTATATACATCGGCATTGGTTGTGGGAAGATCATGCGGAGTACACTTCCGAACAAATGGCAACAAATTCCGGGGGGCAAGCGGCTATTGAAGAATTGGGGAAATGTGCAGATTCTGGATTTAGATAGCCCCTACGCACATTTATTCGGCGCTCCCCCCCTTCCCGAACTCACATGCACATTCTAGAATTTCCTCCGCATATTTTCCTTTTGTAGAATATCGTGCGGTTCCATTGTTGACATTGTTCTTGCCTTCCAGTCGATATCAAGAAATACAGTGAAGGATTCTGGTCCGTTATCGGTGGAAGTGTTCGAGAACTCATGCTCGACGAGTGCAATTGGCGGAGTCGAGTCTTCTACTCGATCCTCGGGCAATGCTCTCAGCTGGAGGGTCTCCACATATACCGTGAGTCAAAATTCCCCGCCTTTCCGATTCTCTCTATTCCCGGAAGGAAATCAACAACTGGAAACTTGAGAATATCTTATGATTCGGAATTTCTGACCGTCCATAGATCCGTCTGAAGATAGCACTAATTTACGTGCTTCTTTTCAGTTGGCGAGCGCTCGCTCCTCGAAATGTCGCCTGAGCAGGTCGAAAAATTCTCCAGCATGCGCTCCAGCGTGAAACATCTCACCTTGTTGGCGAGCAAGCAAGCTACGGCTCCCTTGACCCCCACGATATTCGGCCAGCTGCTGAGTACAATGCCGGCCCTAAATTCCCTGCAAATCGAGTGGTGCACGACGCCTTTCGTGAAGTCAGTTCTCTCCAACTTGGTGGAGTCGGGGCGCCGACTGAAGCTCTTCCGCATCAAAGGGACTTTGCTAGTCGACGAGGGTTTAGTCGGCTTCCTGGAAGCAAATGCAGATCATCTGGAGGATCTGCGTTTAGAGTCTTGCGTAAAACTTACGGCTAGGGTTTTCGCTGCGATAAGCAAGTGCACAGCGCTGCGGAACCTGTCGCTTGTGGAGGCTGTCGCTTCGGAGGACAGCCATCTGGATGACCTGCGAGCCCATTCTCCTGGTCTCAGACGTCTCTTCATGGAGGGATGTGACCGTGTGACCGGCAAGAGCTTAGCGAGGGTCCACGAATTCAGGGAGCTTGATTGGCTGATTATCTCGGACTGCGAGTTGATCAGCAGGGGACCCCGGGTAGATCTCGGACCCTTCTCACGTTTGAAGCACTTGAGTCTCGATTTCGCTCTGAGCGGTGCCGACTTCCTCAAGCACGTACTGAAGCCCAAGGATGTCCGATCTTTGGAACTAAGCCTGCTGTCTTCGGGGCCAGAGATCTTCTCCTCCGTCGTCAGAAATTTCTCAAACTTGGAGGAATTGGCTGTCATCCGCTGCGACGATCTCACCGATGAACATGGAGTCATGCTCAGTGCCCTGAAGAATCTCCAATGCATCAGGATCTCAAACGCTGTTGGGATCACCGACCTGAGCTTCGAGCGCGGGATCGGATCACGGACAATGAACGAGATTGTCCTACACAACTCAAGAATAACTGATGTAGGACTCGCAAGTCTAGCCGCCCACCACGACAGACTACAGAACTTGGAACTCATCGGATGCGGAGAAATCACAGACTCTGGATTGCTTGCTTTACTCCACCGCAATCCCCTCATTCAGAAACTGGGCTTGCGCTCTTGCCCAAGGCTAAGAGGGACATTTTTCGAAGTGCTCGAGAAGGTCTGTCCGCGACTGGAGAACCTCACTGTCGCCGGCCCGGGGATGAACGATCGGGCTCTGGATAGCTTTGCGCAGCGGAAACCCGAAGTCGTTGTTCTCAGGCCCCGGCACGCCAGAGCTCAATGATGCAAAGCGAGCCAACCGTCAAGTGTCGTAGCTAAACAGGGAAGTCTGTGCGGAGGCAGCGGATCGGGACCCCGGTTCCCGAGGAAGCATTGAATGCCCCGATCGCAGGGGGTCGGAGGATTATCCTTGGATGTTTTTGATAATTGTGAAGCTCGATTCCAGTCATGGTTTTCGTTGTCCTGCGGGAGCGGCAAGCTGCGGTGATATATGTGCATAGGAAAATAAATTAAGTTTCTCGGTACCCGATTCGTAATTGAAATGAAATCGGAATCGCTCATTGCTCTGGAATCAAAGTCGTGCTCCTAAGGCATACATTTCGGGCTCTGTTCCCACGGATGAATGTGGCGCCGGATCCGGCGAGGCTTTGCTCCACACAACAATACGTGCACGACGACCACCTTGCCTGG